CATACTAAAGTAGTTAGACTAGTATGAGATTATTTCAATATTTGTGGCAAGAGGGGTTAAGCTGTACTCATATGGAGAAAAGTGGTAATATATTCAGGAGCTGTAAGCAATAGATTTCAGTTACTAATTGATGGAGAGTGGGGAAGGAAAGAAAGTCTAGGTGGAGAGCAGTGCCCCTAGGAGTTAGCAGAGAGCCTCACACATTTTTCTACTTTTTAAATGAATTAATTATTTTGATAGATGATGATAATATTCATCAAGGTTATGGATAAAGAAGGAGAATCAGATTAGAGGTGTGAACGAGCATTAAGTTTTAAATGCACTGATTTTGAGCCTCCTATGGCTCATCCAAATGGGGAAATCAAATCAGCAACTAGAAATATGGGTCTGTGGGGCACCTGGGTGGCTCAGTCAGTTGGGCATCTGCCTTCAGCTCAGGTCATGATCCCAGGGTCCTGGGATCGGGCCCTGCGTTTGGGTTCCCCGATCAGTGGGGAGCCTGCTTCTCCCTCTCCCTCTGCCTGCCACTCTGCCTACTTGTGCTGTCTCTTTCTCTGTCAAATAAATAAGTGAAATCTTTAAAAAGAAAGGAAGAAAGAAAAGGAAAGAAAGAAGAGAAAAGAAAAGAAATATGGGTAAGAAAGAAGAGAAAAGAAAAGAAATATGGGTCCAAAATTTAAGAAAAAGGTATGGAATAGAGATGTATATTTAAGAGTCACTAATGAATGGTATATAGTTGATAAATGAAGCCATGGGAAAGATAAGCTAAACCAGGGTATAGACCACAGATTGAAGGTAGGGCCTAAAATAGAATCTTAATGCACACTAGTATTTACTGTAGGTAGAGCAAGAAAAAACTAAAAGAGGATTTTGAAGAGGATTTTGAGAAGTAGTTCCCAAGAATGCACAATGGGAAACAAAAGCAAATAATATATGAGAAGGCAAAAGAGAAGGTAGTTTTAAGAAAGAGGATGTGGTCAGTTATGTTAAATGCCTGAGAAAAGTAGTTACCACTCATGGGAATTATTTGCTCCAAAGAGGGTGCTGACTACCAAAAGGTCTGGATACAAAGAGGAGTTTTAGCAAAAACAAATGACACATTCATGCAATGGAATATTATACAGCTATTAGAAAAATAATGGAGAAACTCTTTGTGGACTGATGTGGGAAGTTCTCCAGCAGAAGTAGATTTACTGTGAAGCTACTGAGGCTTGAGTTTCATGAGCCCTCATTGTCATGGCCTCTACACCTAGTTTTATATTAGTAATTTTGCATTATTTTTTCTTAACAAAGTCTCCCAAGTTGTATAAGCCCTTTGCTCTCATAAAATTTGTGTCTATCCCTGATTTTTAGGATATATTGTTAATCATAAAAAGAAGGTCCAGATCACAGTATATAATATTCTGCCTTCTGGTAAGAAAAGGGGGAAATTAGAATGTATACTTATATTTGCATACAGAAACAGTGAAAGAATATACAAATGACCCCGGAGAACAAGACTTCCAAATGTGTATCATGTATATTTTTTAACTTCTGAATATGAACATAATATCCATACAAAATATCAAATTACTATTTTAAGAAAATTCAATGCTGGACACCTGGGTGGCTCAGTCGGTTGGGCATCTGCCTTCGGCTCAGGTCACGATCCTGGGGTCCTGGGATCAAGTCCCACATCGGGCTCCCTGCTTGGCGGGAGGCCTGCTTCTCCCTCTCGCTCTGCCGCTCCCCCTCCTCATGCTCTCTCTCTCTCTGACAAATAAATAAAATCTTAAAAAAGAAAAGAAAATTCAATGCTGTGAATGAAGAGTAAGAACAAAGCTATGAAAAGCAGCTATCTATTTAATTGTCTGTTAGCTTAGTTTATTCCCAAATCCTGAAGGTTAACTGAAGGCTCACCAGGTAAGCATAATAGTTGGCTCTCCCCCTTCCTACAAAGAAGGGCAGCAGGTTGGGGGTCTCAGTGAGGTCAGAAGACGGCTGGAGTAGAACTGGAAGGCTCGGAGGTCCCGGAGTAACTGAGGCCGTTCTGCAGGAGCACAGGCTTCCGCGGTCAGTGGAGAATGAGAGGGAGGCACTGGGAGGTCCTTGGACACCAGCAGCACAAAGCAGTAATGAGCGGTGGTAACCCCATCTCAGGCATTTTTCTTTTCATTGAGGTGTAACTGACACATGATATCCTGTTAGTTCGGGTGTACATCTTTGTGATGCGGCATTTTTGTATGTTACAACATGATCCTCACAGTAAGTGTAGTTCCATCTGTCCCCACACAACGTGAGGACGGCGTTACTGACTCTACTCCCTGTGCTGTACATCCCATCCCCATGATGTACTTATTTTATGCCCGGAAGTCTGTACCTCTTTTTTTTTTTAAGATTTTATTTATTTGAGAGAGAGAGAGTGCAGAAGAGGGGGTAGGGTCAGAGGAAGAAGCAGACTCCCCACTGAGCAGGGAGCCCGATGCGGAACTCGATCCCGGGACTCGATCCCGGGACTCCAGGATCATGACCTGAGCTGAAGGCAGTCGCTCAACCGACTGAGCCACCCAGGCGCCCCTGGAAGTCTGTACCTCTTAATCCCCCCACCCGCTTCACACTTCACGGGCCCCTCAATCTTTGCCCCTTCTGGTAACAGTTTGTTTCCTCTCTCTCTGAGTCTGTTTTGTTTTGTGTGTTCATTTGTTTTGTTTTTTAGAGTCCACATATAAGTGACATCATATGGTATTTGTCCTCTGATTTATTTCACTTAGCATAATGCTCTCTAAGTCCGTCACCTTGTCTCAAATGGCAAGATTTCATTCTTTTTTTTTTTTTTTTTTGAAGATTGATTTATTTATTTGACAGAGAGAGTGAGCACTAGCACAAGCAGGGGGAGCAGCAGAGGGAGAGGGAGAAGCAGGCTTCCCGTGGAGCAAGGAACCCGATGTGGGACTCATTCCCAGGACCCTGGGATCATGAGCTGAGTGGAAGGCAGATGCATAACCGACTGAGCCACCCAGGCGCCCCATGGATTTCATTCTTTTTTATGGCTGAGTAATATCCCATCATGTATATATACCACGTCTTCTTTATCCATTCATCTGTCAGTGGACATAGGTTGCTTCCATTTCTTGGCTGTTGTAAATAATGCTGGGATGAACATATGGGTACATCTATCTCTTCAATTTAACATTTTTGTTGAGCTGAGTTAGTGTTAAAGTTAGTGTCTAGGCCCTCTTTGATAGATAACAGGTGGTGGTTAATAAAAGCAAGTCTCAGACCATAACCTTGCATAACTAGACACAGACCATTCACACAGCTTGTTCAGTAAGCTGAGTAAAGTCCCAGCATTCTGTCCTTGTACATGCTCTAACTACACCTTGTATGAAAGGTTTACCGAGGCGCTCACAGCCACATTCCAGAGGCAAAACTGTGTGCCCTCTGGCTTTGGACATTTGGAAATGTTCCTGTATTAATGGTTGAACACAAGACTGATCAGATGTCAAGACTCAGAGGTCATCCACAGGGTAAAGGACCTAGACCTCCTCGGATTCTTACTCTCTGTTCATGTAAAAGTAGGAAGTGATTGACATATGTTTAGGAAAATGTACTGGTCTTGAATTCCTTTAATTTCAACAAAGAAAGCCCATTTTTAACATTCATCAAGCTATTCAGCAGGCTATTTTCACTAATGAAAACCCATGTTAGACAGTGAGTATACTAATTAGAAAACCAGTCAATATATAACACTTGATAGTATCTGCCTCAAAAGGGTTGGTCCTTTACGACTAGAATATCTTGTCAGCCCTGTCATACCTGATAGTATATTAATGCCATCATCCCTTGATTAGGGAAATGGACTCTCTAGGGTTCAATGTGAACTAATCCATATATAATGATATACTGGCTTTGCTTCGCATTTTAAAGTAAAACATCACAGTAGTGGAAAAGTCTGATAACAAAGGGGCTTTTTAAAGGAGGAGGAGATACAGTTTGGAGGTGTCAATGGAGCACTTGAAAGGCGGCTACCCTACCTCCACGCCTTGAGCTGTCTGTGGTATGTGATGGGAGGGAAATAGTGCCTCCATTTTAGCAGGCTGCAAGAGAAGCAGTATCCTTAGAAGACAGCTGTGTTTCACCTGGAGCAGGAAGGTGAGAAGAATATGGAGAATTAGGAGAAGTAGAGCATGTTGAGTACGGAGTGCACAGGGGAAGGCTTCGGGGAAACGGGCACACATGGGAAGCAGGGTTGGTTAAAGGATGTGCTGCGTATTATGTAGACAAATGTCCACAGAATCTATGACCCTAAACTGGGCCCCAGTTTCCTCCATTGCAAAATGGAGATTCAAGTAGCAGCTGCCTCATAGGCCATAGTGAGGATTAAATTAGCTAATAGTTACAGTGTGCTTAAAAATAATGTCTGTAACAGTAAGTGCTCAGTAAACAGTAGTTGGTGTTTTTTATACCTTCCCATTTTCTTCATAAAAATATTAACAAACTTTGGGGCACCTGGGTGGCTCAGTCAGTTGAGTAGCTGACTCTTGATTTCAGCTCAGGTCATGGTCTCAGGGCTGAGGGACTGAGCCCCACATTGGGGCTCCATGCTCAGTGGGCAGTCTGCTTGAGATTCTCTCCCTCTCCTTCTGCCCCTGCCCCCGCTAGTGCGCTCTTGCTCTCTTTCTCTCTCTCTCTCTCAAATAAATAAATTTTTAAAAAATCAGTAAATTTTGTCAGAAATTTATGGAATCCTGAGATCAAATATTGTGGGGTGCATGCCAGAATGAAGAACCAAGACATTTCTCAAAGTTTCTTTCCAGATAAATATTCTTAAAATTGGTAAGTAACAGTTTCTCTGTGGGTAATTAAATGTCTAAATTTAAAATATTTACACTATTCTAAAAACTATTTTCTTTTTACAAAAGTTTTGAAGTAGTACTTTGTTATTGACCAGTTATCTAAAAAAAGATAATTGAAAATGAAGTGATTCTGTACTATTTGATTTTTATTTATTATCCCTTTAGTTTTTAAAAAAACAGTTCCTCCGTTGGAAGAAGCCCTCAAGCAAATTCAGGAATCCAATTTAAAATCAGAAGTAAACCTCCTCCCTTCCCACAGACCAACAATAAATTGGAGGTAAGTAATTTATTATTATAATGTATAATTTTTAATATACAATAATTAAGTAGGCTTTTTGGCTGAGTTTGTAGGCCTTGTCATCAGTTACTCCTCATCTTTATTGTAGCGTTTACTATTTTATTCTCACAGATTAATTTGAGGTAGAGTAGAATATAAATTGCTTCAAGAATAAGGCAAAATTCTAATTTATTGTCTTTGGTATTACAGTGCTGCCTATGTTGAATAATTTTCCATGGAAACTATCACTAAAACCATTTAAAAATATTGATGTTCATTATTTATCCTTACTGAGAGGAAAAAACTGTGTTGTAGCGATACAAGTTTAGATAAAAGGAGTAATTTATGGTAGAAATGGGTTTTTCCTCATGGAAAAAAACTTTCTTGGATCTCTTGAAAAAGCTAATGTCTCCTGGTTCCTCTCCAGGGCAGCGTAAGTGAATTATCTAGGAGCAGTAGAATGGCTCAGCCAGAGTACCCTGTGACATCTTATATTTTCCATTTACTTGGTATAAATGTTTATTGGAGCTACAGCATGCATAGCGCTAGATCCGGCACCGTAAAGGGGATGTGGAGAAGTATAATACCGTAAAATACGATTCCTAGCGTTTGATCTAGGAGAGAAGCAAAATCGTGCTTCAAAAAGTATAGATAGTACCAAATGAGTAATGATAATAATATGTAATATTTATTTATATAAGGGCATTTACAATTCGGACATTAATTATGTTAATATTTTATCTGTACATAATGTTACTTACTAAAGTACTTCCCTTTTTAGACTATGTGTGGCCAATGGTTCCCTCGATCAGAGCTAAGAACAATTAAATTCATTTTCTCAGTCATCATTATAGTTCAGGAAAGACCTCATGGAATAGAAGATTCTTCAACAAAGCTTTGAAGAAGATAGGAATTGGTTATGAACCAGGTGGGCCCTGGGACTCCAGACAGAGGGCCAAGAGTGATGGAAGGAATGGTGTGTTCTAGGGGTAGGCGTGTGCACAGTAACAGTAGCTTGGCTGGACAGGAGATTGGAGAGTAAAGGCATCTGTACACTAAGGAGTATAAACTTTATCTTGAGAGCTCAAGAGGAGTCAGTGAAGGATCTTAAGTAGATGGGTGGTAAGATCAGCTTTTCTTTTTTAATATGTCATTCCAATCTACTGTGAACAAATGTGAATAATGGATTGAAAGAGGACAAAACAGGAGGCTATTTCAATACATCTAATTGAAATTATATGAGTTCAGAGCTCTAGACAAAGATGTAGGCTTAAGGTCATTGAACAGCACACAGGAGGATGTGTACTGTGATGACAGGCCTAGGACGGAGCACTGAAAACAGCCACATTTAAGGAAGTAGAAGAAAGAAGCCTACAGATGGGAGCAGAAAGGTTGATACAGGACTAGGAGAGGGTTGTGCTATGGAAACTAAAGAAGGATAGAGGTTCTTGGAGAAAAAGCAGTTTATAGAGATCAAATGGCTTCTAGGGAATTAGTCACACAAGCTGTTGTCCTGGTGTGAAACAGGTGGCACATTTAAAAGGGGGGACGGGAGAGGGGCTAATGAAGGAACTGGAAAGCCAGCACAGGATGGGGGCCCCCAAGAACTAACAACCACAGAATCAGTATGACCCCCACAGACCTGACCTGGAGACATGGGTAGCCACAGACGAGCACTGCCAGAAGACCCCGTGTCCTCAGCAGAGTGGAAGCTAGAAGACTAATGATCAAAAACATCTTTTGAGAAAGAGAAGCAGTGAAGGTTTTTAATCAGGGACTGATTTTTTTTAAGACTTTATTTATTTGAGAGAGAGAGCAGGAGAGGGGTGTGGGGGAGGGGCAGAGGAAGAGGGAGAAGCAGACTCCCCTCTGAGCAGGGAGCCCGACGTGGGGCTCGACGTGGGGCTCGATCCCAGGACCCTGAGATCATGACCTGAGCCAAAGGCAGATGCTTAACCGACTGAGCCACCCAGGCTCCCCCATCAGAGACTGATAAAATCCTCTTTGTCATTTTAGAAAGATAATTGGTGTGAATGTTGGAGAATGAAAAGGATGGAAAGAAGGTGAAGGCAAGGGAACAAGAGAAGATTAATGGGATGATCCAAAGGATATATCATTACTGTTTAAACTGGAATAGTACTATTTTGTATAGTGAGGAAATGATAGGTCTGTGAAGGAATAAAAATATTTTGAGTGGTTAGAAGGAAAGGATGAGAGAAGGAAAGATGCAAACACCTTTTCACAGCACAGAGAACTGATGTAAGAAAGAGGATTTAAGAATGTTGACCAGATAAAAGTATAAAATGTGGAACATGGAATGAATAATGGCAGGAAAATCAGGAGGTATCCAGCCATGAACTTAAAAAGACTTACGTTAAAAGGATAGTAGTAGTGAAATCGAAAAGAAAGATAGAAGGAAAAGACATTGCATAGAAATAGACTATGGAAATTAGATTATGAATTTGGTGTATGATGGGATAAAGAAAATGAAAAAAGCAAAAAAGATCAAAAGAAGCTGAAATTTTGAGTCTTGATAATTGAGGGAATTTGTTGACTTTAAAAAAATAAAAAAACAATGAAACAGTATAAGTTTGGCAAGGTATTGCTAAATTTTATTGCAGGTATCTGAACTGAGGGGATAAATATCCAAGTAGAATGTATAAAAACAATTGGACCTAAAATGAAATGAGATATCCAGGCTATAGAATACACTTGGAAGTCATGATTGTATATGTTGTTTCTTCATTTTTATATGTAGTTATGTCTCCCCAACCAGAATGGGGTATTCTAGGGATCAGTGGCTAAACGGTACACACACAGGTATTCCCTGTAGTTCCTGGCTCTGTGCTGTGCATGTTGGAGGCGTTCAATAAATACTATGGGTGAAGGAACATCCCTGACATACATGGACACTCCTCCGAGAGTATGAACTTGACCTGAAGTCAGTAGACGAGGAGGAGATTGGTCAGAGACAAACACCGAGAGGGCACTCCAGCCGGGGGAGCAGGTAGCGTAGGAAAGGGCGTGCTGTGTTGAGGGCGCTGAACGCAGCTCAGTCCCACTAGCATGCACAGTGAGAAGGGGACTTGTGAGCGGACAGTTTGCTTGGAAAGGAAGCCATGAGTTAACTCATGAAGAGGCTTGTTAAGGAGTTTGTCCTACAAATAATTACTGAAGCAAGCATTCAACATTTATACTTTAGAAATACTGCGAGAATGGGAAGGAGTAGGGTACAGCTAAAGGTGGGAAATAGCTAACGTGATACTTCAGTTCATAAAAATGAAGACTTCTTGAGAGTTGTTTAGGAGGGGGAATCAACAGGATTTGGTGACTGTTTAAGAACTGGAAGGTGTTCAGGAGGAGTGAAGCATGACTGGAGATCAGGATTGGTCAGTTAACAGGTAGTGAAACCATAAGAACTATTAGGGAAGAAGAGGTGTGAGGGAGGGAGTGACTGGCAAAAGGATAGTAAGTTGTAAGTTTGAGGCACTTAGGGGATATTCCCGAGCCAATTTCTCATGGTAAGAGCTCTCAGCCACAGATCTAGATACGATAATTGCCAATGAATGGATGAAGTTGAAGACATGGTTCGTGAGTTCAGCTAAACAGTGAAACTCCCACCAAGTTGTGTTGGGCTTCAGTTAGAGGACAGAAAACATTTCACGGCAACAGGCAACATTCTTCAGCGGGAGGGATCCTCCTGGCAGATCACAAAGCAGTCGGTCTTTGCTATGCCCTGTCCCCGCACATGACAGCTCAGCTACGAGGAAACAAGATCACAGGGTGGGTGGGTGCCACCCTGGCTAGAAACCCCGTGTTCCAAACAGGAACCAGTATTCCTGGCAATGGCTCCATATGGATCACGCCTAGGTCCATGAGAGAGACACGTCCAGGAATAAGAATTTCCACACTCGGGGAAAACCACAGCTGTAGCTTTGTGCCAGCTATCTGGGGTTGATTCAGTCCTCTAGATTACACAGAGTATGGATAGATAAGCAAAAAAGAGCGTCACATAACTCTCAAAAATTCCAGCATAATAAAAAAAGTGAATTCTTCAGCTCAAGAGTACACTTGTAAAAACTCACCAAAGTGAATAGTTGTTTTGCTAGTTTAGATGAAAGTTCAAAACTTTCCTGGATTTCAATACAATAGTGCTTTTTTTAAGTTTTTATTTATTTATTTGAGAGAGAGAGAGAATGAGCATTGGGGAGGGGCAGAGAGAGAGAGAGAGAGAGAGAGCGCGCGAGAGAAGCAGACTCCCGCCTGAGCAGGAAGTCTGATACAGGACTTGATCCCAGGACCCTGAGATCATGACCTGAGCCGAAGGCAGATGCTTAACCAGCTGAGCCACCCAGGCGTCCCAATACATTTGCTTTTACACCAAAACTTTACAAATTAAAACTGGAATTCTGTCAGTATCTTTTTAACAGAATTACCTGGAGTAAGGAGATAAAATAATTATATCTCTTTTGACCTTTTGGAAAGTTTTTTTTTTTTAGTTTTGCAAGTATATTTAACAGCAAGAGTTAAATATAATTTTATATTTATAAAGCAAGAGTCCATTTCAATATTTAGCTACTCTCTGGATTTTGGAAGCAAAGTACCAAGTCTTAATAAGATAGTGCCCATATAGATGAGCTTCCCCTGAGGGCGTGGAGACCAACAGATTGAGTGCATCTTGATGATGCTTGAGATTTGTCTTGCAATGTTAGGTTAAGAAAATCACGTTAATTTTCTTTGGAACTTAGTCTCCCAGCACTTACTGTGATTACAAAGTATTTACCAGATATTTAATGAGGAGCTTTGTTTGTGAAAAAATACCATCTAAATCAAAAACACCAAATTGGAACACCAAATAATACTGTGTAGCAGTCAATCCCTTAGGATTTTTTTTTTAATTGTGGGTTATTTTCTGATTCTCATTTTTGGGGTTCTTAAATCTTAGCAAGCATCGCCAATAATAAATACCAAGAGTCCATTTTACCTTTTTTTTAAAGTTGCAGCAGTTGTCTGTTATGTTAAATAACGATTAGGGATGGAGCTCTGAGTGCCCAGAAGGGAATCCATACCAGTTGTTAGCCTGCTTTGTCTTATTTAGGAGCCACCGCATTTTTTCCCCACTGTTAATAACCAAGATAATTAAGTTAGAATGTGGCCATTTTGTTATGCTTATGAGACTACAGTTCTCAATTTTGGGTTAGAGGTTTTGGCTTCTATAAAAATGTCGTTTTAAAATACATTTTGAATTATAAGAAAAAAATTTTTTGTACTTTTGTTTAATTGGAATAATTTTCAAGTTTCTACAAATAGGGTAATTGTAAATTTAAAGCATTAAGCTTTATTGGTGAATAATGTATATATTCCCATTCCAAGAAATATAAGTGAATGACATTGAAATAGTCTTTAAAGTTTGCTATAAAAAAGAAATTCCAGCATATAAAGGGCAAGCAAAGAAAGGAGCTCAACAAAGAACCTGAGAAGGAACAACTGGAGAAGTAGGAAAATAACCAGGAAAGCACGATGACATGCAAACCAAGGGAATTAAAGTCAGAAGACAGCAGTCCAGAAGTGTCTGTTTTTGGTTAATCGCGAGCAAAAGCAGTACCTAAGAGCGGCGGGAGGAAGCCGGACAGCAGTGGTGGAGAAGTCTCGGGGGTGAAGGCGGTATAACTTTAGAGTACTCCATGGGGAAGGGAAGATGACAGACATTTAGAGGGGGAACTTAGGGCAATAAAAATTCCAAATCGTTTAGTATAAAAGTAATGTGCATTTTTGTATACAGGTTTTCCTTACTCACAGGTTTCTCTTTCCGCATATCAATTATTATCCTTTGTGTTATCAGATAGTTTCAAAAAAAAGCTCTTTATTGCTAGGAATGAAAGTATAGGCTATTTTTCGCTCAACACTGTACAGTTCCTTAAAGTCTTAGAAGAGATGAAGTGTCAGAACAACTTTGACTTCCTGTAGCACACAAACATAGAGTTAGCATTATCCAAATCTGTGCTAGGACCACTAAGTAACATACGTCATTTTGTTTTACAAGAGATGATCTCCAATTTAAATTAGAATACATAGTTTTCATTTATTATTGTAATGCACTATTTTGACTATGACTATCTACACCTATCTGTATGTATACACACACACATAAATGTTATATATTTGGAAAACAACAAATGTATAGAATTTACAGAGATAACACTATGGCTTACTTATAAAATGTTGAATTTCTCCCCACAGATAACTAACAGTATTAAATAATGTGTATGAAAATGCTTTGTAAATTATAAAATGCTATACAAGTATGAAATATTGGAATATTAAGGATCAGGTGTTAAGTTAATAGAAATACGTGTACTATTTATTTAAAATATGATTAAGCTACAATATTGATAAGCTATCATCACATTACAAAATCCATTATATGTGGAACACAGACCTAAAATGTGTTAAGGAATAAAGTAATGGCAGGAAACAGGCAGCATCCAAAGTAGTTGATTCTATCAGTACTCATAAACAATTGTTCCAATGTGGAAAATATTAGTGGCAGATAAAAAATAGTTTAAGATGTTGGTAATGTGATCATCTAACGGTAAAAAATTGTATGAAAAACTAGAGGGCATTCAATGCTAAAGCCTCAAGACAATCAGAGAATATATCCATATGAAAATAGAAGCTGCCTCAGGAAATAATGAGATATAAGAATATTAATAAGGGACTAACATTAAAAATACAAGTAATCAGCCTTCCATCACAACCAAATACTTATCACAAATATAATATACTTCACTCTTCTGATAGATGTAAGGTAAAAGAAGCTATATTTTCCCCTATATTAAATTTTTATACTTTAAAATGATATTATCAGATATCTATCTCCAATATCCATGTATTTATGGTGACACAGTTGAACCTGAACCACATGCAACCCTGAGAAATCTGGCCAGAGCTGAGCAGTGATCTATTTGACCTCATTTTCCCTTTGTACCAGTAATTTAAACCAGATTTTCTAGCCCATATTTATTATCTGTATGACTACCAGACTTCTAAGAGGTGAAAATACTCTTGAGAGGAATCAGAAAAGGGGAACGTGAATAAGCTACATACATTTCTCAGCACATGTGAGCGGACACTGGTTGATCAGAAGAACACATGCATGGACCCTCAGGACAAAAATATACTATGAATCAAAAGCCTAGAGGCAGCCTAATAAGCGTCAACAACAAGAAGAACATCGTAATAAGGCTGTCTCTCTACCTGCCTGTCCAAATGCTTTTCCACCTGTGCAGATCCATTCCTGCCTGTCCAGCTGTCTCCACACCTTATCCCTACTTAACTGATCAGCTGTCTCCTCCACGGGCCCCATTGCTATCCCACCATTCCCAGATTCTTCCTGGCTATCCAACTGTTTCTACCCCCCACCAGCCCCAAACCCTGCCTGTCCGTCCATCTGTCCCCGCTGCTCTTCCAAAGACCTCTTTCCCAGCCCCGTTACTGTCCTACCCAGTCAAATATCTTCCTCACCCTCCAGCCCCAGTTAACCCCAGCTTCTCTAGCAGTTTCCCGCATCTACCAGCCCCAATTCCTTCTGGCCCACCTGACCATCTACCCCACCCACCCCGAAGTTCCACAATCATCCCTCCTCCTGACTCACAGAGCAAGTTATTTTACAAAACTTTCAGACCCAAACATTTCCCTCCACAGCGTTCTACTCCAGCCACTCTAATGCCTGCCCTCATTCATCATTCCCTTCCAGCTCTACTGGTTGTTTCCCCAACCCCTTTGGAAGCTGTCCCCATTTTGAAGCCTTCCTGTTTATCCAGTCACCCCCCTCATCAACCAGTCCCCACTCTTTCTGATATCAGCTTGTTCCCTGAACATCCTGCTACTTTAGATTCTTTTTGGTCAGTCCAGCAGTCTGTTCCACAAACCACCACATTGTCAGATCTGCCCCAGGCCTTTGTAGACCATCCTCCTGCCTCAGTTCACTCCCACCTACCTCCCTGTCACTCCCCGTGCTCTTCTTTGTCTTCCACACCTTCTTCATCCCCTGTGCAGTCCTCTTCCTCTTCCTCCATCCTTTCCTCTTCTTTACCCTCCTCTCCTGCCTCTCCATCCTTACCCCTTTCATCTGTCCCTCTCTTTTCCTCTCCTCTGCATTCAGCTCCCTCTCCAATCCATCCTGTGTCTTCATCCTTTCCCCCCATGCTTTACTCTCCCTCTCTTCCTACATCCCCATCTCCTTTTATTTCTATTCATCCCCTCAATCCTCCTCACTGGGGGAAGAAAGTAGAGAAGAGAAGAGAAGCAAGTGGAGTAGAGAAGAAAGAAATAGAGAAGAAAAAGTTGAGAGACGTCAACTTTAAAGGTAAATAAATTGGGTTTATTAGACATTTTGTAGATTTAGCAATATTTTGTTTGGGAAGGGTGACTGAAGGGGAAGGAATCTGTGAGAGTAGGAAAGCCTAAAAGGCAGAGAGAGAAACACACTCTCAGCATTCAGGAACTCGTGCGAAATACCTTCTTGCTCTCTGTGACCGCGGACTCTGTGGTCACAAAAGGATGGGCTGGAATCTAGTAACCGTTGACCTTGACTATTCCAGTTCGTCCCAGTAAAGATATATATGTGTATTGGAGATAGGTATATGTCACATGTGGCCGTGTATCCTCCAAACATTTTTATCCTTGTTAAAATAGGAGCAATTGAAGTGAGCTGGGCCTAAATGCTCTTGGGAATCACACTGCTGGGAGTATACAGCAGCAGTCCGCTCTTTGATACGCTTCCTTCCCACCCCCCAGAACAGTGCTCCTGTCTCTTTGCTTCTCACTCTGCACATGTGCTGAAACAGAACTAGCGAGACGTTCCCAGAAGATGCAGAGTCCTCATAGAAAGTGGTGTCACCCGCTGATAACCTGTGGGTGGCACTTCAGCACACTACAGGCAGACCCCGCACTAGAGACGCCCCTGGTGTGGCCTGAAAACCATGCTCGCATTGTGATACAACCGAAAACAAGTGTGTATATTCTCCTCCGTCAAGAAGAGCCAGGCTTCCAAACCTAGGAAAGTAGGGTGGGGATTCCTGCCTGTCCCAACAGGCAGTTTTCCTATTTTCTGTCTGCTTGAGTCTTCAGCCAACTCTGCCAGCTATGACATCATCTCAGAACTGCGGGCAGCACAGCACATTTTTATCCAGATAGGAATGCTCTTACAGACCTAAGGAATGACTCTACGTGTCTACAGGAATTCCTTCCACATCTGTCCCAAACGATAGAGAAATAGGACTTAATAACCAAAGCCATGAATAACTGGGTATTCCTACATGAAGGTGGAGTGCTTTATTGCACTCTAATCCCACGACCATTTTTATTCTACTGTTGACTGCCTTAAATTCCCATTCTAATATCCTTAAATGTAATTCTCTGAACACACACCCGCACACACACCCATACAACATAAATGTGTCATTTGTATAGATAGACTGAGGTTAACTTTATTTAAATGTACTAAATATTTTTTATGTATGGTTCACAGAGCTATAGATAATGCCTTGCCTTCATCATTGTCAAAAAATGGTCACAAGCATCAGAAACATCTCTTATCCAAAATCAATTGTGGTAAAGAAATGAAGGAAAACAACAGGGCAAACTTGGCTACTAACAAAGATGCGTTCCAGCTTAAACTGGAAGAAACTCAGAAACTCCTAGAAGATCAGCATCTAAGCAGTTTGCAAGTATGAAACTATAAATATGTTAATAATATTTTAGTATCTAGTAATTAATTCTGTCCCATCTCTGCAGTGATCTACACTAGATAAGAGTATGCCGTTAACCAAGGATAGGATGTGAATGAGTCGACACAAATTCATCACAGATACGACAGAAGTAATTGTTTAGATTTTTCTACCTTTTGCTCATTTTTCACTCTGCTTTCTCTGTTCTTTTTCCATCTCTCATATTTGGAAAAATATGCTCTATCAATGTTATTTTCTGATCAAACGTGAAAGCTATTTAAAACTACAATGTAATATAAGTATCATTGTTAGAGACTGGATTATAAAAAGCATCCTGAAAATTATAATACATGTGGACATTAGGTTCTTAATGAAAATATGTCACAATTAGCTAGAGATGGCATTTCTGTTCTATCTCTGGTCATCCATTCACTTAGTTTTTTTCCCCCACAAAGTATGGATTTCAGCTGATTTTCCTGAAATGTTCATGCACTTTATTTTTCATGAGTAATTACACACATTTATGAGATTCTTAGTAGGCTGATATCAAGATTAAATTCATGACCTTGGCCTGATTTATCCAGTAACTAAGTAATAATGACAAGGCTTAAAAAAAAAAAAAAAAAAAGGAAAGCAGAAGGCTTCTTCTGGCTATGATGAAATGCCTTCCTACCATAAACAACTATAATTCTGAATAAGATATATGAAACAGCTGTTTTTAGACATCAGACAACAGGCAATATAGGATACGATCTTAAAAAAAGGAAAACAAGTGAGATAAGCCCTGTAATCACATAGGCTTTCTACCCGGACATATTCTTTGGACAAGCCTCAAAAAAAATCCACACCCCCTGCAAAGGCACATCAACGTCGGATTAAGCCACGCAGCACAGGGAATGTCATCAACGGTGTCGTGTGGGGACAGATGGAGCTACACTTGTGGTGAGCCCAGCATCACTGTGTTGTACACCTGAAACTCATGTACCATTGTGTGTCAACCACACTCAAATTTAAGAAATTATTTTGAGGGGCGCCTGGGTGGCTCAGTTGGTTAAGCAACTGCCTTCAGCTCAGGTCGTGATCCTGGAGTCCCAGGATCAAGTCCCACATCGGGCTCCCTGCTCGGTGGGGAGTCTGCTTGTCCCTCTGACCCTCTCCCCTCTCATGCTCTCTCTCACTCTCTCTCTCTCAAATAAATAAATAAATAAAATCTTTAAAAAAAAAAAAAAGAAATTATTTTGAAAAATGTGGAAAATTTATCTGGGGGGGGAAGATCCATAGCATGTGGGTGAACAAAGATAAGACAGACCACAGTAACTTCAGGCCAGAAGACAGTGAAGCATTTTTAAAGTTCTGATATCAGAAAACTCCTGGCCTAGAATTCTGTATCCAGCTAGAAATATCCTTCTGGAACGAAGGCAAAATAGGCATCTTCAAACAAACAAGAGCTGAACACCACTGCAGTCCACCAGCATCTGCACAATAAGAAATGTCCCTGGAGTTTTTCAGGAGGATGAAAACTCAGATCTGTAGTGATAGCAGATTAGTGGTAGTTAGTGGTGGATAGGTGTGGACTTCCAGCAGATGGAAAGGTTCTATGGATTGTTTGATATGGTGGGTATGGGTGAATAATTTGTCAAAATCCATCAAACTATACATTTAAAATGGGTGCATTTGGATGCATCCTCAATGACTATTTTAAAACTGAAACACAGAGTATAAACTAGTACAGTTTGCATATCAGTAACTTACAAGCAAAAGTTAAAGCTGATCATAATGTTTCATTTCTTAGTGATGAGAAGAAATCTGGGGAGGAAAGTATAGTTTGGTGAAATCAGAAGTTGCTAATCTTCTTTCCAGGTGCTTCGGGGTATGAGGCCATCACAGACCTGTAACAACAAAAATCTTAGAGCCATGGACATCACACGTACCAATCTAGAAAGACCCTCAAACCCAGATTTCTGCATCTCATTAGATGTCATCTCAAAGAAGCCCTCGAGGGTTTCCTTATGTTTGTCTATTAAAGCAGCTCAGCTGCACAAACAGGCATTGACAGAGTGTGCTCTGTTTTGTTCTCCTGATCAGGCTGAGCGACCATCACTTTCAAAAGACACCAGAGCACTGAGGATGTGATAAATAGGTGGTAAATGCTAGTAATAGCAAACTCTCATAATCGTTTTCAAAAGTTATTGTGTGATAATATATCAGTAAGCATTAACTATACAAACTAAAGTAGTTTTATTCTGTAATTGATTTCCTGGGTTTCTTCATTTATTTTTGGGCTAGAAAAATCATATATTTTTGTTTAGCATCAGAGTATTTAAATTTTCTAAAATTTGCAAAAAATCTTAAGGGACAGTCATTTCCTTTCTTTTGAGTCCATTGAACTTTTTGACAAGATTTACGATCTGAAATCCTCTTGAATATATTTATTTATATGTGATACAAATTAATGCAGGTATATATGGTATATATGAGAAATTAGAAGTATCTTTAAACACATACCACACTTTGAAGTGATCATGAAATTTAAAGACCAATAAGTTCCATGAAAGTTCATTGAAATAGTGATGAGAATGTCTATGAAATTCATAGAAATTATTGCTGTCCTAAGTCTCAAAAAAGGACTCATTAAAATCAGTAATTGTCAATTCTATATCCTCATTAGAATTGCCTGGAGTACTTTAAAATAAAAATACAAATACATGGACCCCATCTGAACATTAAATCAGCAGGACCCACACGTAGTTATTTCTACAAAGCTCTTCCTGTGATTGTAACATGCAGTCAGAGTGTAGAACCCCACAGTGGAGGCCATGAGACCACCTGGTCTCAGAAGATCAACCCTACCAATGGGAAACTCACATTAGGGTCACAGAGCTTTCAGGAGCCTCATTCAAGTCCAGTGAAGCTTTCAGGAAAAAAATACTCTTTGTAAATAACTATTTTTCAAAATTGCACATGGTGTTATAAAACCTTCAAGAAACTCAATACTCCAAATGGAATAGCAGTAGTAAAATTATTTTCTAAGCAATAACCGTGGCTAGAATAATTAGGTACTTAACTTTAGGTGTAGAAATTCAGGCAAATACAATTTATTGTCAGTCTTTGTTGGCTCCCTCTTCTTCACTCTGAGGACTACTCCAGGGATATAGATTATTTAGATACACTGTTTATAGTCATATTACTTTATTTTAATATGACAAGGACAATAGGACTCAGTAACAGTGGTGTGTCGAATCATTAATTTTGGTGTTTAAAAAGTTCTAAGCTGTATAACAATGTTCCTTTTTTTTTTTCTTTCAGAAATTTTGTGATGAAGTTAATCAAATAACAAATTCTGAAACCCTCTCGAGTATAGACAGTCTTGAGGCTGGGGAACATGAAGAAATATATTTAACCCTTAACAAGGAGCCTTCCACATCAAACCAGAAGAATTTCATTTCTCTCAAATCAGTAAATCTGCAATCAACTAATCTAAGCTGCTTTGATGAAGATAAACCGTCACTCTCTAAAACTCAGCATATAAATAATTGGCTCATAAATGTAAATGATCCAAATACTCAGACTGTCACACCTTTCTCAGATATTTTAAGTAATCCTAACATTCTGCCTTCTTGTGAATGTAAAGAAGAAAATCCACCTGTGGAAAGAGTGACAAATAGTGCTAATAATTCAGGAGCCTTTGTATATAGTCCACCCATATTTGTACAAGACGGAAAAAGCAAAGAGGTCTCCGAAACTAGCCCTGTGAGGGCAACTGACTCCTCTTCTGGAACATTCAAAAGGGCGAGACCATTTGTTACTGAGAGCCCAAACTTTAAATTCAGCAGAGTCTGGGCCACTCCAGATAGTCCAACACAGGAAACGGCTGCGTTTTCAGACCAAGGGAGCGATTCCGAGTTAACACAAGAAAATAGAACTACTCCATTTGTACCTGTGGCAACATGTATGGTTTTGCCACGTCATACGCAGCCGGCTAGGCCTTTACCAAAGAGCAGTCTACATATAAAGGAAGTCGAGCCTGCGCCGGGTTCTGGTAAGTTAGGAGAATTGACCAACGTTAACGGTGAGAAGTTAAAATACTTCCATTGTGATAAGGAAGAGTTGCCTTTGTTTTCAGATGATTTCCAAGTTGCCTATATACCTCACAACTCTGATTCAAATGATAAAAAACACAAAATACCCCAAACATCAACGTCAGTGTCTAACATGATTTCTAACTGTGACTTAGTGGGTCAGCACAAGAAGATGAAATACAACATTCATGAGAGAAATGGTGTGAGGTTTCTGAAAAGTATTTTAAAAAAAGAATCTAAATACGAACACAATTGTTTTAAGGCACTAGTTATAAACCATAGCTTTAAGTTAGGAAATCAAAAAGCAGCAGCTATCAGAGATAGTATTGAATTAACAAAAGAAAAAGGTACAGAAATTCCAAAGATTATTAAAAAACTGAGGTGGTTTGATGAAACTGGAGATACAGAAAAAAATGCTGCAGACCATCATTCACTGAAGAACAGAACAGAGCTATCTCAGCAGTGGTCTCAGCCTTTCCACGTTCAGACCAAAAGTGGTGCTGCCGGCAACGCCGTTAGAGTTCCCGCCCTAAGTGCTGTAGATTCTGCTGATGGAACGAAGCCCGAGGAGGATTCTGTCTCTGACAATGTCGCTGCTTATGGAGAAGCTGGGACAGACCATGTGCCTCTGAACTGTTTTATGCCTTCAGGTTATAACGTTGCTAAACAAGCCTGGCCACCCTCAGAAAAAGAGGGCAGTCAACCCCCTCTGCAAAGTGGCAGTTCTAAAGCTCAGAAAGCAAGTCCACCACAAGGTGGTACAAGAGTAATCCGAAGAACAAGATCTGCTCAAGTGCAGTCAGCCTTCGTGTGCTCACACAGAAAAGGCTCTGTCCTTCGGCCCCAGTCCGAGAGCAGAGCCCACAGACTCTTACAAGCTCAGGGTAGACTGATTGTGCCTCATCCTCCTCCTAAGTCTCCGTCAAATAGTAGGAGTAGTAAAAATACACAAGTGTCTCAGTGTCAACAGGTAACACTTGAAGATTCTCAAAACGTAATTACAAGTCACTATTTTCGTTCAAAGCATGTGCTTCCAACAGAACACAAGTTCAATCACTGGAATCAGGAAAGTCATTTTCCACCCGCAGCTGTTTGTTCGGACTCTGTCACTGTGATGCCTTCTCTACCGTATTGTTCTTCTGAGTGCCAAACTTTAGCAAAAATAAATGGTTCAGATGGCACTCAAGTGGCGCCCCAGCAAGGTGGGACTTCACATTGCGCCCACAGATGTCCTGTTGATGAAGAAAGCCATCCCTCTGTGACTCTGAGAACCGCTCAAGAAGAGTCTGTTCCCTTGTGGAAAAGACAGAATAATATTCCGGGCCAAAATGAAAAGGCTGCTGGTAAGAACAAACATATATTTTTATAAATAAATTGTACAACGTTTTAAGTTCCTGTGAAATTTTTCTTACTGAGGTACAGCAATGTGCACCCTGTAGATACAATATTAAATAATAAGTTAGCGGTACGGAAACGGTCTCTCCTGAACGTTCTATCCTTGTCTGCCTAGCTGGAGCTTTTAAGAGAACCACCCAGCCCTCACTCAACTAAAATTAGAAACTTGCCAGCCTCCATTTTTTTCTCTTGTTAGTTTAAAAGAGGGAGGACAAAGAGTAGGGTCTGCTTTTTACCCCATATCATTCTGTCATTACATTACCCCAATATTCTAGTCAAAATTTCTGTCAAAATAAGCACAGTGGAAAATATTTTTTAAATTATTCTAAGTAGGTAAATAAATGTGGTTATAATACCTTATTTTATTTTTCTTTAAAATGTTTGTTAAATTGAATAGCTATAAGCTAATGACAGGTGTGCCTAGCCCTCCCACTCCCTTTCCAAAAGACTGGCAGCCCTACTTTTATCCCTTCTGTATGCTGGTTTTCATGTGGAGGAAAAGTGACAGTGTTACTTTAAACAGTTTGAAGATTAGCTCCCCGTAGAATGCCAGTTACCCTTAGTAGCTAGCTAACTCTTCCTGAAGCTCTTTTCCTCTAGGGGAATGGACTAGAAGCCCATAAATTCCCTGCCAGCAGGAATCAGTTGCCTATTGAGAAATAGGTAAGGACTTGGGAAAAAATCGGAAAAGCTATTCTTTTCTTTTCCCAAAGATGTGAGTAAATACTAAGATGATGTAAAGAGGGGGTTAGTTTAAAATTTAATATTCAAAGTCTTCTTTAATTAGACTGAGATTTTAAGGACAGGGGGCATTTGTTGTAATTCATCACTGTCTCCCCAGGTCCTGGCACTTAGTAGTCACCCACACTTTTCTTAAATTGAATGGATGTAAGTCATATTAACAGATGGGAAGCTAAATGCAAAGACTCTAAACTAAAAACTTTCAGTACTTGGCTACAAAAATCTAGATGGTTTTTGTTTTCTTTTTTTTTTTCGTTTTTCATCACAAGTGTCCTTCATCCTCATCAACTGTTTCACCCCCCCCCCCCCGCACCTCCCCTCTGGGGACCCTTAGTGTATTCTTTATAGTTAAGAGTCTGTTTCCTGGCAAAAACCTAGATTTTTTAAAAATTATTTTTCTCACTAAAGATTTTATTTCCTTTTAATCTAGGCATTTTACAATGTAACTTTAGTTTTCACACTACTTCCAAAAAAAAAAAAGAAAGTATCATATAGATTGAGTAAAAACCATTGTATGTATATATATATATACCACATCCACCAGTTTGCTCTCTATAGTTGAAGAGTCTGTTTTTTGGTTTGGTTTGTCACTTTTTTCTTCAGTTGTTCTGTTTCTTAAATTCCACTTACAGGTGGGATCATATGGTATTTGTCTTTCTCTGACTGACTGACTTTGTTTAGCATTAAACCCTCCAGATCCACTCCTGTGGTTGCAAATGGCGAGATTTCATTCTTTTAATGGCTGAATAATATTCCAGTGTGTGTGTGTATCACGTCTTCTTTATCCCTTCATCTATCAGTGGACACTTAGGCTGCTTCCGTAATTTATTAGATCATATGGTAGTTCTATTTTTAACTCTTTGAGGAACCTCCATACTGTTTTCCAGAGTGGCTGCACCAGCTTGCATTCCCACCAACAGTGTAGGAAGGTTCCCCTTTCTCCGCATCCTCTCCAACACCTGTTGTTTCCTGTGTTGTTGATACTAGTCATTCTGACTGGTGCGAGGTGATATCTCATTGTGGTTTTGATCTGCATTTCCCTGATGATAGTGATGTTGAGCATCTTCATGTGTCTGTTGACCATCTGTAGGCCTTCTTTGGAGAAATGTCTCTTCATGTCTTCTGCCCACTTTTTTTTTTTTTTTTTAAGATTTTATTTATTTATTTGAGAGAGAGAGAATGAGAGACAGAGAGCACGAGAGGGAAGAGGGCAGAGGGAGAAGCAGACCCCCTGCTGAGCAGGGAGCCCGATGTGGGACTCGATCCCGGGACTCCAGGATCATGACCTGAGCCGAAGGCAGTCGCTTAACCAACTGAGCCACCCAGGCACCCTTCTGCCCACTTTTTAATTGGATTGTTTGTTTTTTGGGTGTTGAGTTGTATCAGTTCTTCATATATTTTGGGTTCTAGCCCTTTATTGGAAATGTCATTTGCAGATATCTTCTCCCATTCAGTGGTTATGTTTTCATTTTATTGATTGTTTCCTTTGCTGAGCAGAAGCTTTTTATTTTGATGTAGTCTCAATAGTTTATTTTTGCTTTTGTTTCCCTCACCTCAGGAGATATATCTAGAAAAATGTTGCTACAGCCAATATCAAGAAATTAGTGCCTGTGCTCTCTTCTAGGATTTTTATGGTTTCAGTTCTCTCATTTAGGTCCTTAATCCATTTTGAGTTTATTTTTGTGTACAGTGTAAGAAGCTGATCCACTTTCATTGTTTTGCATGTTGCTGTCAAGTTTTCCCGGCACGATTTGTTGATGAGACTTTTTCCCATTGCGTATTCTTGTCTACTTTGTCGAAGATTAATTGACCACATAATTGTGGGTTTACTTCTGGGTTTTCTATTCTGTTCCATTAATCTATGTATCTGTTTGTGTGCCAGGACCATGCTGTTTTGGTTGCTATGACTCTCTAGTATATCTTGAAATCTGGCATTGTGATACCTCCAGCTTTATTTTTCTTTTTCAAGATTGCTTTGGCTATTTGGGGTCTTCTGTGGTTCCCTACACCTTTTGGGATTGTTCTGAGTCTGTGAAAAATGCTGTTGACATTTTGATAGCAACTGCATTACATCTGTATGTTGCTTTGGATAGTATGGACATTTTAATAATATTTGTTCTTCCAACCAATGAACATGGAATATCTTTCCATTCATTTGTGTTGTCTTCAATTTCTTCCATCAGTGTTTTATAGTTTTCAGAGTACAGGTCTTTCACCTCCTTGATTAAGTTTATTCCTAGGTATTTTATTCTTTTTGGTGCAGTTGTAAATGTGATTGTTTTCTTCAGCTCTCTTTCTGCTACTTCATTAATAGTATATAGAAATACAACACATTTCTGTCTATTGATTTTGTATCCTGCAACCTTATTGAATTCATTTATCAGTTCTAGTAGTTTTCTGGTGGAGTCTTTAGAGTTTTCTATATATAGTATTGTGTCATCTGCAAATACTGGAAATTTTACTTCTTCCTTAATGATTTGGATGCCTTTTATTTCTTTTTGTTGTCTAATTGCTGCAGCTAGGACTTCCAGTGCTGTGTTGAATAAAAGTGGTGGAAGCGGACACCTTTGTCTTATTCTTGATCTTAGGGGAAAATCTCTGTTTTTCACCATTGGGTATGATGTTAGCTGTGGGTTTTTCATATATGGCCTTTATTATGTTGAGGTACAATCACTCTAAACCTACTTTGTCGAGGGTTTTTATCTTGAATGGATGTTGTACTTTGTCAAATGTACTTTTTCTGCATCTATTGAAACGATCATATGGGTCTTATCCTTTATTTTATTAACGTGGTATATCACAGTGATTGATTTGCAAATATTGAACCACCTTGCATCCTAGGAATAAATCCCACTTGATCTCAGTTAATGATTTTTTTAATGTATTATTGGATTCAGTTTGCTAATATTTTGTTGACGATTTTTGCATCTATGTTCATCAGAGATATTGGCCTGTAGTTCTCTTTTTTTGTAGTGTCTGTATCTGATATCTTTTGGTATCAGGGTAATGCTGGCTTCATAGAATGAATTTGGAAGTTTACCTTCCTCTTCTGTTTTTTGGAATAGTTTGAGAAGAATAGGTATTAACTCTTCTTTAAATGTTTGGAAGAATTCCCCTGTGAAGCCATCAGGTCCTGGAATTTTGTTTGTTGGGAGTTTTCTGATTACTGATTCAATTTTATTGCTAATAATTGGTCTGTTCAAACTTTCTATTTCTTCCTGCTTCAGTTTTGGTAATTTATATGTTTCTAGTAATTTACCCATGTTTTCTAGGTTGTCCAATTTATTGACATATAATTTTTCATAATATGCTCCTACAACCCTTGGTATTTCTGTGAAGTCAGTTGTTATTTTTCCTCTTTCATTTCTGATTTTGTTTATTTGAGTCTTCCCTCTTTTTCTTTTTTTATGAATCTGGCTAGAGATTTATCAATTTTATTGTTTGTGTTTGTTTTTGTTTTGTTCAAAGAACCAACTCCTGATGTCATTGATCTGTCCTATTGTTTACATATCATTTATTTCTGCTCTAATCTTTATTATTTCCTTCCTTCTGCTGTTTTGGGGTTTTGTTTGTTGTTCTTTTTCTAGCTCCTTTAGGTGTAAAGTTAGGTTGTTTATTTGAGATTTTTCTTGCTTCTTGAGGTAGGCCTGTATTGCTATAAACTTCCCTCTTAGAACCATTTTTGTGGCATCCCAAAGATTTTGGACCATTGTGTTTTTATTTGTCCCCATGTAATTTTTGATATCTTCTTTGATTTCTTGGTTCACCCATTCATTTCTTAGTAGCATGTTATTTACTCTCCATGTATTTGTGTTCATTCCAGATTTTTTCTTGATTGATTTCTAGTTTCATAGGGTTGTGGTCAGAAAAGTTGTATAGTATGACTTCTGTCTTTTTTAATTTGTTGAGACTTGTTTTGTGGCCTAATATGTTATGTATTCTGGAGAATGTTCCACGTGCACTTGAAAAGAATGTGTATCCTGCTGTTTCAGGATGGAATGTTCTGAATGTATCTGTTAGATACATTCTGGTCCAGTGTGTCATTCAAAGCCTTTGTTTCCTTGTTGATTTTCTGTTTGGATGATGTATCCATTGATGTAAGGGGGGAGAGGGTTAAAGTCCCCTACTATTATTGTATTACTATCAAGTAGTTCCTTTTAGTTTATTATTAACTATTTTATGTATTCGGATGTTCCCATGTTGGATG